AGAATATAAATGAAAAGACACACCCTTTTTATAGCACCCTTCAGGCTTACATTTCTCAAACATGTCAGCTTTTCCATTGCTAGAAAGTCCCATAGTTTTATTCAATGGGTCATTTAATCTTGGTGTTTTGAATGGTTAAATGTAGATAGTGTTTTAAAAAAATCAACTTAAGAAAATAAGATCAGAAGCCACACATGCATGGGCTAAATAAAGCATTTCACTAGTAATCTAATCTATAGTAGGAGACAGTTCTGCAGCTGTAAAATACTGGTATCTTTTAAAATCTAGATTTCTGTGTCAGGAAAAAACGTATACCCTATGGTGTTACTCGTGAGATTTCAAGTTCTATTTCTTGAAGATTTTGTAATGTCTATAATTAGGTGCTGGTGAATCACATTGCTGTAGTGTTTCATAGTTTATTTCTGGGAGGTTAAGCTCCAACAGACCAAAAGGAAAAAAAAGACCAATGCTGAGGCCTCCTGCACTTTGTCAGAGGAGAAGTTTGCTCAAACGCACGAATCCAATCTCTACTAAAACCCTTTGTTCATGCTGATCTGTTTGGCCAAGTAAAATGAGTCTCCAAGGAAATTTTGTCAAGTTGTAGCAGGTTTAGCAGTGGTGCGTCTGTAATAAACTGTACAACCCTAGGGTGGCTTTGTATCAGCTTCACCTTGGCAATAAATAAAATTTAAAGTGAACAAAATGAAAACTGTGTTTGCCTTCTGTTTGCTAGGTCTAAAGACGCTTCTGATCTTCCGAATGTTGGAAAACTCAGAAAATTGGAGTACTCATTTTTAAATGTGGTGATACTAAAATTGAGCTGGATGGATGTTCTGTGTGTGCTCGGCATGACCTTTTCAGTTGTGGTTGTTCATGTACGTATTCTTAACTTGTAGAAGCACTGTTGACTCCATCTCAAAACAGAACAGATGGGTAGTCAACCCTAGAAGCTCAGTTTTGAGGTCATAATACTTTAGGCTTCACAGTTATTTTGTATTTTGAAGCCAGAACCACACACTTAAAAAAAAAAAATAAGTCCCTCAAAACTATTTGTACTGAAGTTCAGTTGTTGCCAAGCTCTAGGAGAAGAAAGGTAGAGAGAATGGGAGACTTCAGCCTGAAGCTTTAAAACTACAAAAACTTGGGAATCTGTTTGCTCAAGTTTTTTTCCAGTTGGAAAATCAGAATGACTCTTTTTTCATATGAAACAGCCATATAATTTAAGAAAAGGTTGCACTCTATGTAGACCAAACAAATTTAGACAAACTTAGACAGTGGTATATTTCATTTCAATTTTTCCCTAGTTGCATGAGGAGAGTAGTCTGACATTAATATGGGTATTTTAGAAGCTATGATATCGTAGTTAGCATGGTCACAAGGCGTGGGTTGGAATACTGTAGAGGTCTTGCACTATGTATGGATTCCTTGAATGGTTTGTTATTTTGGGGCTTTTTGTTTTTGGTTTGTTTAAAACTTTGCTTTGGTAGTTCAGAAGCTTCCTGTTCTGCTTTGGATTTTGCTGATTTGGTAACAAAAATAAATAAATCTTGCTGTCACAATATCTGAAAAAAAAAACAGATTGTGTGTTTACTAAAAAATCAGAATGCAGAAGGCAGTGTTGGTATGTGAACCTACAGAAAGTGTTGCCTTTGCTGCCTCATGATGGACAGTTGTGCAAATCTTGCTTTGTCTCCTTTATTTGGTGCATATCTTGACAGAGTATCAACATCTGCACTGAAAATGTGCTCTTTTTTGCTTGCTGATAGATGGGTCTCTCTCGGTTCCATATCCCTTGCAGACAAGGAAAAAAATAAAGAATGTATCACATTTCAGTTTCTTTGGATAGTTTAGCCCAAACTACAAGTTTCTGGTTTTTTCCTTCACACAGTGCTTGAATTTTAAAGAGAAATGTGTAAATAGTAAGGCAAACTGCCTCACAAAATAAGTTTCATTGTGATTTCAGTACATGCCTTGGTGAAAACATCCGATTGAAGGCCATTCAACTGTACCTGAGGATGTTTGTTCCTTTCATCTGCTGTGAGATTAACCTCTTCTATGACTCAGTGCTGCTTTTGTGGGAGAGGCCCTAGTAACATTAAAGCTAGAACCCATTAAAAAGGCTCTTTCGTCATTTTTTAAAAAAATCAGTAGCTTTTACTGATCTCATAACCCTTTAATTTGCTTTGTAGCAGAACAAGGAGACTGCTGGTTTGAGTTTGTCTAGACAACAGCTAGCTAGCATCCTTGAGAATAACTTCAGAAAGTGGCAGAATATTAAAGAATGGTAACTTTATATAATATAGATGCTCTAACTGTGCACTGCTGAAACCGTTGCGTTTATCTTGTTCAGAACCTCAATTTTTCTTCCTTCAGGTTTTTATTTTGTAAACTGGTCTAAAAGTTCCCAAAAGACACACAGTAGCAAGCCTTTTGTTATGTTCTTTCTAAAGTGACTGAAGTTTTAAGGAAAAAGGTTTTTGTTTTTCCTCTCTTCCACACAATGGAGCTTCAGAGAACCTCTTTTAAAAGGAATAGCTACAGCCTTTGTGTTGAAGGGTGTGTCTGCTGGCAGAGTTTGCTGAAGCAGACAGGCTGGCTGGTGATTAACAAAGGTCATTAGACTTTGGAATCTGGCAAGCAGAGTCAGATGGTATGTCTTCTGTGCATAGAAGGACGACTCTCAAGAGGCTGAGGCATTCTGGAGGGTTCCTTCCCCCCCATACCCCTCCCTGTTTCAGAGGGCATGCTGTGTGCTGCTTCAGTCTGTAGGACAGTTTGGACAAGTGTCTTGCTTCAGTAATACTGTTGTGCTGGAACTAATTAACACATTTATCATTCATGGGATAAAAGAACCTTCAGAGATCTTTGCAAATGATCAGTTAGGGAGAAAAGGTGCTGTTTCTGACAGTGCATGGGAACAGCTAATTCTGTTGAAAAAAGCAAATCATAAGAAGAAGGCAAGTAGTGTTCTTATGATGATGCTTTTTCTAGCATCAACCTAGCAAAAAAAAAAAAAAATCGTGTGTGCTTGAGATGAAGCTCAGATAAGTGAGGCCATGTTGTGCACAAGCTAGAAGCTCTCAGCCTCTGAGTGCATGAGTTGTCTGAGCTAAAATGGCTGCTCCTAAAGCTCAGAGGACCAGGGCAGCTTAGTGAGTCTTAAAGCTTCAGTGACGCAGGAGCTCATATCTCTTGAAAGTGTGATAAACACATTCAGCAGAGCTGTGGCTTGTTTGGCTGAGATGAAAGGACTAAGCTTTGGGGGATGGGCAGTGAAAACTGGATGATCTGCTTTTCTGTGAAGTGCTCTAAATGCAGGAGTCGTCTGCTCCATGGAAAAAAATTGTTTTCAGGTCTAATGGACTGTGCTAAAGGAGACGTGGGGTGGGGCTTCACTCACTGCTGTAATTTGATCCAGAGCAGAGATAGCAACCTCTTCCACACAATTTGGTCTGGTACTTGCACGAAAAAACTTGAGTATCTTGATTATTGTGGCTTTGCTAGCTGGAAAGAAGCTGGTGCAGTGTTCCTTTTCTTTATGGGGGACTAAGGAGAAAAAGGACAAAATGCCCTGTGCACAGTAGTGTAGGTAAACATCTGGAGTGTCTGTGTGCTCAGTCTGTCCAGAATTTGACTTGACAGAAGTTTATTTTAGCAGGCTATCAGGAGGAACATTCTTGTATGTAAAATCCTGATGCAATGCCCTCTTTTATTGCATTGACATAATATTATTGGACTTTGATCTTGCTGTAGAAGTAATTTTATATTCTACAATAAATGAATGGAATTTTCATCGTAAAATATTTTGGCTGCCGTTCCCTCTATCAGACCTCTGGAAGTCCTAGGTTAATGTAGCCCAGTGGAGCATGTGGGAAACTTAAAGAAGTAATTCATTCATTAAGATAATAAGTTGCTACTGTGCCCAAGAAACATATGAAGTAGGAGGACCTCTGTCTCTGACTTTTTTCCCCTGTGTTTATATATTCTTTCTTCTACAGCAGTCCATACATTTTGAGCACAGAGGCAAATTCTCCCCCACAATTATGTCTCACTAGATTAACTGGTCATGTACTGAACTACAGTACTTGACTTTACCAAGATCAGTGTGTCACGTTGTATATCAAATTAGGGTTTGTTGAGGAATCCTAGGAAGTCATGAAACTTTGGAGACTTTTTTATTCTTATTTCCATTGTGCTGTTGCAATGTTTTTATTAAATGAGAGCAGAAATCCCTTCCTCTCCCATCCACCACCCCATCAAAATCCTGATCCCAGAGACAGGGTATACTCTGAGCATAGTAATGGGAAGTCCAGCCAAGAATGTAGCTCTCTTCTGTGTTTGGTGGAATTGTTTAGGGGTTGTGCAACAATCTATCAAAAGTTAATGTATCTAGATCTTTCACTGCCATAATGTCTCTTTTTTCTATCAAGGTCAAAACTGACTAGATGTTTAAACTAATTGAAAATGCAAGTTTCCAGTGGAGGCTTTTTAGTCTTTGGCAGTGAAATAGTCAGTAGTTGTTGAATCTACAGGAAGGTTAGTGCTGGTCGAAAAGAGGCAGAAATGTTGTTTTCTAATAGTAAACCTCAATGCGTGAATGGCTGGAAGTAATGGAGCTGCTCAAATCACATGTGCTTCCCTGGTCTTTATTTGAGACAGACTGTCAATGTAACAATAAGCCCATATAGGAAGAACCTGAGTAAGGGAAAAGCCAAGAAGGCATGGTCTACTGAATCAACATCCATTTGTCAGAAGGCTTGAATATTTGTAGAGCCCAGCTCAGCAACTCATGAGCCATTTAGGTAGGACTTTCTGTTAATTTGAATTTCCTTGATGCCTTTCAACATATTGAGTAAAAGTTGAGTTCCTGCTTCTGTAATGTTAGCATTTCTGGAGGTTACTAAATCTTAGTGCTGACAAGCTTGATTTTATTTATTAGTCACAGTTCACAGAATGGTGTTTCTGTAACAAGTGCTTCTCCCACATTCCTTTTCTTTCAGAATTTCCTGATGTAAAAGTATTATCCAGGACCATGGAGGTGCTGCAGTGCGATGGCTGTGATTTTCGAGCTCCATCCTATGAAGACCTTAAAGCTCACATTCAAGATGTTCACACTGCTTTTTTGCAGCCAACAGATGTTTCTGAGGAAAGTCCTAGCCAGCCAAGGTCTGGCTCCATGAATGCTAGCAACCAGACAGAGGTCGAATTTTCTTCTGTAAAGGATGAATTTACAATTGCAGATGAAATTGCAGGTAAACATAAACCCCTCTTTCTTGTTGCCGGTCTTGGCATATTTTAATTTGTAATTTTCATTAATTTTATTGTAATGACAGCAAAGTGAGCATTGTCTAGTTACTGCCTTATCAGTTCTGATTACTGCTTTGTATGTAACCACTGAAATGGGGCTTTATCTGTTTTTTTTATCATCAAGAATTTTAGAAGTAGGGTTTTTTTGGTGAACTTCTGAAACTAGTGTGTTTATTTAAAGAAACTTTATTTTAGAAGTAATACATATTCCACGTTATGGCCCACATATCAGAGTTTTGCAGTAGGTACAGAAGAGAATCATAAATGAGATAGTCCAGTGCACTGCATGCATTGGAATACTGATGTACCCAATGGGATGTGATTTTTGTTGAATATTGTATTATATCGTTGAGTGGTAGGTGGGGAAGAAATTGTATGTATTTATTTATTGTGGGTTTTTTTTCTTTTAGGGCAAAATGCAGCTCAGATGGGGACTGGAAGTTATTATAGCCATAGCCAGAGTTTTTATAGCCAGCACATGGCCCCAAATCCTAAACCAACAAATAAGTTTTTCCAGTGCAAATTCTGTGTGCGTTACTTCAGATCCAAAAACCTTCTCATAGAACATACCCGAAAAGTGCATGGCACACAAGCTGGAGGGAGCTCGGTGGGGCCGCCTGCTGCTGGATCCTTAAATTACAACATCATGATGCATGAAGGGTTTGGCAAAGTTTTCTCTTGCCAGTTCTGCACCTATAAATCGCCAAGGCGTGCAAGGATTATTAAGCACCAGAAAATGTATCACAAAAATAATCTAAAGGAGAGTTCAACTCCCCCTGCTGCTGCAGCTGCCATATCTGAATCAGCATCTGCATCCGTGCCGGTGCAGGAATCCTGCAAGGAGCTGCCTGCTGAAGTAGTAGAGCGTAGCATCTTGGAATCCATGGTCAAGCCTTTAACAAAGTCCAGGGGCAATTTTTGCTGCGAATGGTGTAGCTATCAGACCCCTCGAAGGGAACGCTGGTGTGACCACATGATGAAGAAGCATCGCAGCATGGTAAAAATACTGTCAAGCCTGAGACAGCAACAGGATGGAACCGGATTGCCTGATGTGCAGAACAAGAGTGCGCCGAACTCTGCCCCAAACTCCAACTATATCTCTATGAATGCTACAGGACGTGAGATGCCGAATGCCAATGTCTCAAACTTCAGAGGCTCTATGAGTAACTCCCTTATCAGACCCAATTCTTCTACATCTTCAAAGTTTTCTTCTGTGTCTTATCCTCAAATGAAGCCTAAGTCACCTCATAACTCTGGTATGGTTAATTTGTCTGACAGATCCCGCTATGGAATAGCTGACATGACAAATTCTTCTGCTGACCTGGAAACTAATAGTATGCTAAATGACTCTAGCTCTGATGAAGAGCTAAATGAAATAGACAGTGAGAACGGCTTGAACTCCATGGATCACCAGACCTCAGGAATGTCTGCAGAGCAGCTGATGGGATCTGATGGTAACAAATTATTGGAAACAAAGGGGATACCCTTTAGAAGATACATGAACAGGTTCCAGTGTCCTTTTTGCCCTTTCCTCACTATGCACCGCCGAAGCATCTCCCGCCATATTGAGAACATCCACTTGTCTGGGAAGACGGCTGTATACAAGTGCGATGAATGTCCTTTCACTTGTAAGAGTTCATTAAAACTTGGAGCTCATAAACAATGTCATACAGGTACAACATCAGATTGGGATGCTGTGAATTCCCAGAGTGAAAGCATAGCCTCCTCTCTGAATGAAAGCACAGTGTCTTATGAAAGTGGAAATATAAACGGCAGGAAGTCAGGTGGAATGATGGAATCCGTGCAGCAGCAACAGCAGCAGTCCCCTCAACCGCACTCGCAGCACCCCTATAAATGCACACTGTGCAACTACTCCACAACTACTTTGAAAGGTCTCCGAGTTCATCAGCAACACAAGCATTCTTTTTGTGATAACTTGCCAAAATACGAGGGACCGTCATCCAATGCTCCACAAGAGAGTGAGGTGGATGCCCATGCTGCCTCCAGCACTGTGAAGAAAAGCCAGACCTCAATTCTTGGGTTATCATCTAAAAATAACTTTGTAGCTAAGGCCTCTCGAAAACTGACAAATGACTTTCCCCTAGATCTGTCACCGGTGAAGAAGCGAACTAGAATTGATGAAATAGCTAGCAACTTACAGAGCAAAATCAACCAAAACAAGCAACAAGAAGATGCAGTGATTAATGTAGAGGATGACGAAGAGGAGGAGGAAGACAATGAAGTGGAGATAGAAGTAGAATTGGACAAGGAAGAAGAACAAACAGAGCCATTGATGGAGGTGTCTAGTTCCTATGCACCCCAGCAAATGTGGGGAAGAGATACTAATGATTCTCAGAAGGAGACTAATTTCAGGAACATGCCACATGATTATAATTCCACCAATGGGGCAGAAATTGAGCTAACTTTATCTGAAGATGAGGAAGATTATTACTGCTCTTCTGTCAGCATGAAGGATCACCAAGGGCCTAATGCATCTCTTTTGGGCAGCCAGTCGAGTATGTATGGATCTGATCAAAACAGTGAAAATGCAGAGTTTAATGATTCTGGACGGCTTTATTATTGCAAGCACTGTGACTTTAGCAACAAATCTGCCAGGAGTGTTAGCACCCACTACCAACGGATGCACCCTTACATTAAGTTCAGCTTTAGGTATATCTTGGACCCTAATGATCACAGTGCTGTGTACAGATGCCTTGAATGTTACATTGACTACACCAACTTTGAAGACCTGCAGCAGCATTATGGTGAGCATCATCCTGAAGCTATGAATGTACTCAACTTTGATCATTCCGATCTGATCTACCGCTGCCGCTTTTGCTCTTACACTAGCCCGAATGTTAGAAGCTTGATGCCGCACTACCAAAGAATGCACCCAACTGTTAAAATTAACAATGCAATGATATTTTCAAGCTACGTAGTCGAGCAGCAAGAAGGGTTAAATGCAGAGTCACAAACACTGAGAGAGATCTTGAATTCTGCTCCCAAGACCATGGCAACTTCCACTCCAGTGGCCCGCGGGGCTGGCGTGCCTGCTACATTTAACAAAAATGCTTCGAAGAGTTTTAGTCCAGAATGTGAAAATCAGAAAGAGCCTTCAGTTAATAGCGTTGTGGTGTATGACTGTGATGTGTGTTCGTTTGCAAGCCCTAACATGCATTCTGTTCTGGTGCATTATCAGAAAAAACACCCTGAAGAAAAGGCTTCATATTTCAGGATTCAGAAGACCATGCGGGTGGTGTCTGTCGACAGGGGTTCTGCCTTGGCTCAACTGTCCTTTGAGCTGGGAACTCCCATCTCCCCAAAACTGTCCAACATGGCTTCGCAGCCACCACCTCCCCCACCACCACCACCAGACCTCACCACTGAACTCTACTACTGCAAGCACTGTTCATATAGCAACCGCTCGGTGGTGGGAGTGCTCGTCCACTATCAGAAAAGGCATCCAGAAATAAAGGTCACTGCGAAATACATTAGGCAGACCCCCCCCACAGCAGCAATGATGAGGGGTGGTGAAATGCCACCTGGCATTCAGAGGCCACCAGCATCTATGCAGCTGAACAGGGGCAGCTCTGAGAGCTCTGTGGCTCCCCTTGAGAATGAAATGTTCTTCTGTCAGCATTGTGATTATGGAAATCGGACCGTTAAAGGCGTGCTCATTCATTATCAAAAGAAGCATCGTGACTTCAAAGCCAACGCAGATGTGATCAGACAGCACACGGCCACAATTAGGAGCCTTTGCGATCGTGGCCAGAAAAAATTGTCCAGCAGCATGCCTGCGCCCACTTCCAATGCAGAGCGGGACAAGGCTAAACTAAGAGCTCTCAAATGCCGGCAGTGTTCCTACACGTCGCCTTATTTTTACGCACTGAGGAAGCATATTAAGAAAGACCACCCAAGCCTGAAGGCCACAGTTACATCCATTTTACGATGGGCATTTTTGGATGGCTTAATAGAAGCTGGTTATCACTGTGAATGGTGTATTTATTCACATACAGAGCCTAGCGGTTTGCTCGTGCATTACCAAAGGAGACATCCTGAGCATTATGTTGACTATACATACATGGCCACTAAACTCTGGGCAGGTCCAGATCCTTCCCCTCCAGCCCTAGTGATGCCATCAGAGGCAAAAACCTATAAATGCAGAGACTGCATTTTTGAAGCATCTTCCATTTGGGATATTACGAATCACTATCAGGCTTTTCATCCTTGGGCCATGAATGGGGATGAATCTGTGTTGCTGGATATCATCAAGGAGAAAGATGCTGCTGAGAAAGCTGGGACCCAGTCCGATGAAGTCGGGACCAGGGTTAATTCTGAAGACCAGATAACCACATCACAGATGGAACAGGATGTCGATTGTGCAGAAGATTCCAGCCTTCCCCAGGAAAAAAATGTCCAGCTGGCCTCTGCAAACCCTGCAATATCCTCCACGCCGTATCAGTGCACGGTGTGTCAGTCCGAATACAATAACTTGCACGGCCTCCTGACGCATTATGGCAAAAAACATCCTGGCATGAAAGTTAAAGCTGCAGATTTTGCACAGGACATAGACATTAACCCAGGAGCCGTGTACAAGTGCAGGCATTGCCCATACATTAATACACGCATCCACGGTGTCCTTACACACTACCAGAAACGGCATCCGTCAATAAAGGTCACCGCTGAGGATTTTGTGCATGACGTGGAGCAGTCTAATGACATGGCCCAGAATGATGTGGAAGAAACGAGTAGGATTTTCAAGCAAGGGTATGGTGCTTACAGATGCAAATTATGCCCTTATACCCATGGCACTTTGGAAAAGCTTAAAATTCACTATGAAAAATACCACAACCAACCTGAATTTGACGTGTTTGCGCAGTCACCGCCGAAGGTGTCTGCATCCATGGAGCTGGAGGGTACCCCCGAAATAAAGGCTTCTCCGGAAATTGCTGTTGAGGACATCGGAGAAGTCACCGTGCCAGCTTCTCATTTCTCCAGCTCTCATCTTGTGTCTCACACGGTGTTCCGCTGCCAGCTGTGCAAATATTTCTGCTCCACCCGGAAGGGGATAGCCAGGCACTACCGCATCAAACACAACAATGTCCGGGCGCAGCCCGAAGGCAAAAACAACCTCTTCAAATGCGCTTTGTGTTCCTACACAAACCCCATCCGCAAAGGGCTTGCGGCACACTACCAGAAACGGCACGACATTGACGCTTATTACACTCATTGCCTGGCAGCCTCCAGGACGGTAAGTGACAAGCCCAGTAAAGTGATCATTCCGTCTCCTCCCAAAGACACCTCTCCTCAATTAAGCGAGGAGCTGAGGAGGGCTGTGGAAAAGAAAAAGTGCTCGCTTTGTTCCTTCCAGTCCTTTAGCAAAAAAGGCATTGTGTCCCACTACATGAAGCGTCACCCTGGTGTTTTCCCTAAGAAGCAGCATGCGAGCAAGCTGGGGGGTTACTTTACAGCTGTGTATGCTGATGAGCATGAAAAGCAGACTCTGGGAGAGGAGAGAAATGATTTTGAAAAGCCTGAGGTGGAGAATGAGGCTCAGGAAATTGAGTGGCTTCCTTTCAGGTGCATAAAATGTTTCAAACTGTCCTTCAGCACAGCCGAGCTGCTCTGTATGCATTACACCGACCACCACAGCAAGGATTTGAAGAGAGACTTTACCATACTGGGATGTGGCACCCGTTCTCAGAGCTCTGCCTACCAGTGCAAGCACTGTGAGAGTAAACTGCATAGCATGGCAGAACTGACCTCACACTTGAACAGTCACAATGAGGAATTCCAGAAGCGTGCCAAACGTCAAGAGAGGAGGAAACAGCTTTTGAGCAAGCAGAAATATGCAGATGGTGCTTTTGCAGATTTCAAACAAGAGAGGGTAAGAGATTGTGTGTGTGTGTGTGTGTGTTCTCTCAACACCCCTCACCCCTCCCCGGCTGCTTATTATTAGTGTCCACATGAATGTGCTCTTTGGCAGCCAAACAGCTACAGGCAAGCAAGTGACTTAGTGTGCCGATGAGTTCTATAAATCAATGGAACGTTCTAGCTCGATTACACCCACCAACCCCCGCCCCCTTCTGTATCCCTTTCTAGAGCTTCCTAGGGGATTTCTGTTTCCTCCTCTCCTCCTGGGAGTAGTCTCCTTATCTGGCACTTAATTATGTGACTTTCTATTACAAGGCCCCTGGCCTCTGTCTCTTTCCCAATCCCCCCAGTCATCATCCCTTGTAATAACACCAATTTCCTTCTCAGGAATAGCCTACTCAATAAGGCTCGGTGTCAGCATAATGTGGGTAATATAGCTGACAAGGGGCCTCAACCAAAGCCTATTAATATCAATGGGCATCTCTCTAGTGACTTCAGGCTTTGGATCAGGCCGCATATGAACTTTGGACCAAATTTTGTTCTGTTTCACTGGTGTAAATCTGGAGTAACTACTTACCATTGCGAAGGAGTGACTCATAGTTTATATTGGAGTCACCCAATGGCATAATTTGGCCTTGTAATTAAAAATTAATAAAGCTCTGTCATTAGGCAGAAATTCAGAGTTCATACTATGCAAATGTTTTACCTGCATATTTTAAAGGCATTAACGAGGGGTAATTGAAAACTTGAGAGGAGATTTTGCAAAGCAGCCTAAGGGATTTAAACACATATTATCCATCTATGTTAATGGATGTGTATGTATCATAGAATCTTAGAATATCAGGGTTGGAAGGGACCTCAGGAGGTCATCTAGTCCAACCCCCTGCTCAAAGCAGGACCAGCCCCAACTAAATCATCCCAGCCAGGGCTCTGTCAAGCCGGGCATTAAAAACCTCTAAGGAAGGGGATTCCACCACCTCCCTAGGGAACCCATTCCAGTGCTTCACCACCCTCCTAGTGAAAAAGTTTTTCCTAATATCCAACCTAGACCTCCCCCACTGCAACTTGAGACCATTGCTCCATGTTCTGTCATCTGGTACCACTGAGAACAGTCTAGATCCATCCTCTTTCAGGTAGTTGAAAGCAGCTATCAAATCCCCCCTCATTCTTCTCTTCTGCTGACTAAATAATCCCAGTTCCCTCAGCCTCTCCTCATAAGTCATGTGCTCCAGCCCCCTAATCATTTTTGTTGCCCTCCGCTGGACTCTTCCCATTTTTTCCACATCCTTCTTGTAGTGTGGGGCCCAAAACTGGACACAGTACTCCAGATGAGGCCTCACTGGTGCCGAATAGAGGGGAATGATCATGTCCCTCGATCTGCTGGCAATGCCCCTACTTATACAGCCCAAAATGCCGTTAGCCTTCTTGGCAACAAGGCTAAGTCATTTAGGCTGCTTTGCAAAATCTGTACCTCTGTTCTTAAAGTGCCAAGAGCGTGGGCTTTTTCTTTTCCATTTGAACAAACAAAAATGGCTTGCCTAATTGTTTTTGGTTTTAAAATCCATGCTGTTGCAGGGTATGTTTGTAATCTCTCTCTCTCTCTCTCTCTTTTTTGGTTAAGTTAGTTCTGGAAGCAAATTTCAGTGTATATGTTGATTATACTGATGTGTTCCAACAGACGTTCGGTCACTTGGAAGATGTATCAAAATTTAAGGAGAGAAAAGTTGTTGGATACAAATGTAAATTTTGCGTGGAAGTTCATCCCACCCTCCGAGCCATCTGTAATCACCTTCGCAAGCATGTTCAGTATGGGAATGTCTCTTCTGTGACAGCTACCGTAAAGGTGAGAATGATAAGAACTGGCCATGTGTTTGTTTGAGATTAAGGCCTGATCAAAAAGCTCACTGAAGCCGGTGGGCAGACTTTCTCATTAAATTCAATTTGGATTAGGTACTGATTTACTAAGACCATCATCCAAATCTAATGAACAGTTTTCTGTGTTGTCTCTGGATTATTTTAATGCTAGATTTTTCAGATGTTAGTTGCAACTTTCTTCTACCTTTGATTCGGGACATGAAGACTATTTTTTGCCACGGAGTAGATCCCATTTCTCGTGCATAAAGGAATTTGTCTTGTCCATGGTAGAAAGCGTCGGCCTCTGAGTGGGAAGCTCTTGTCCAGCTATTCTGGGCTACTTTTCTACTGTCTTTGCCTCTGAAGGCAAAATTTTCAGAAGAGGAAACCTGAAGTGTGTCCACACAAAAGTACATGAAATTGTGTGTTACGTGCTTGCATGCATAGTTACGACGACACAAGCAAACTGGGTATTTGTATCTGCAAACAGCCATTCAGATGGCTAACTAGTCATTTACCTGAACCGTTGGCCCAACTAAAGAGGCTAATTGTAAATTCACTTTATTTTTCATGTGCAAATGGACTTTTGCTTCTAGGAAATCTGGTGTGCAGGGGAGGACTGGGGGTTACTACGTCACAGCAGGTTCTTCAGGATATCAACTGGGGAGTGTGCATGCAATCATGCGGCAGGAGCTGTGAACACATTCCTTTTGCTGCAGTGAGAATTCAGAGTGGGTTGAGTAGCAGAGCTGACCCCACAATCCCCTGTTTCATAACCCCTACTGCATACTACTATAGGGCAACTAAATCCAGAAAGGTCTGAACTGCTCTACCTAAGAGGGCTTTTATTATTTTGTAGTCCTTTCACTGTCCTCCCCTTTTGCTTACGTGATGCTACAAAAGAGATTGTCCCTTTTCTCCTACCCAGCTATCCTTTTCAAGCGTAGCCTACAGGATCGTCGCCATCTTTTTGAGCAAAAGGAAATTACTTAAGTAGTTGAGCAAGAAAGCTGAAAACCAAGGTCAAATGAATGTGGGGCCACCCTCTCAACCCATTTTAAGCTGTTGATCACAACAAAATGTGCCATGATGAATAATATTAAGGGAGGGGAACAAGAAACAGGTAACTGTTTCTGAAGAGGAGTAGTGTTTTCTTAGAGTGCCTGTTGTTTCTCTCTCGTGAATTTAGTGCTGGTGGAAAGTGTCTGCTCAGCAGCCCTTGAAAGGGGAGGTCTGGGTTAGTCCAGAGGCAAGGACAATGCAAGTTTCCTCCATACCACCCTCCTCTGTGTCTCTAACCTGTTTTAGGGGATCCACCTCCAGGGCTTAGATGGTTGTTAGCTCAGTTTCTACTCCAATTCCATGGCTTTTGTGCTGACATTGACAATATTACTTAGGGCCAGTTGTGAGAGTTAGTCTTTTTTTAGACTAATTTGAAACTGTGGGACCTTTTCCTGAAGAAAGCCATTGATGATATGGGAACGGTGCAGGGATATTTTTAGAACATAGATGTAGTGGGATTCCAGAAGACATTCTGAAAAGGGAATCTTAGTAAAGTTAACACATGGGGAAGACCCAAGGCAGAAGGGAGAGAGAATTGATGGCTTTGGGGGGGTATGTGTTTTTTAGCAGGAAGCGGAAGATTCTTCAAACACAACTTTGGAGGGTTTTGAGGGAGCAAAAGACCATGGCATGGTGGAATTTACAGAAGCTGAATCTGGAGCATCCTTGGAAGATGAAACCAGGCCTGGGGGCTACCACTGCAGCCAGTGTGACCGGGTTTTGATGTCTATGCAGGGTCTGCGATCTCATGAGAGAAGTCATTTGGCTCTGGCCATGTTTACCCGTGAAGACAAGTACAGCTGCCAGTATTGCTCCTTTGTCTCTGCTTTCAGGCACAAGTAAGTTTTTGCAATAGAAGTACAGACCCGTGATACTGCTTTCATATGTGCTGACATTAAAGGGAGCACTGTACACTTGAAAACTGGACACCTTTACTGTTTAACTGCTTCCCCCCCTTTTTTCTAGTTTTCAGGTATTCACATTCTTCTGAGTCCCCTTACCAATGTCTCTGATTCTTTGAATATTTTTTAAAAAAATGTTCAGTCTCCTTTTTTCTGTGGGGGAAGAACACACACAAACAAAAGCGGCAAACTTCCTACACAGAGGAAACAATGAAACTGACCTTCACAGTGCTGTCAAATTCATGAAATAAACAGGAAAGAAAAGAGGGAAATATTCATAAATAAGGAACCTGGGTGTTACCTGTAGCAACAGTTTTCAGATAGCAGTGTGATATTTTTGTTGTTGGAGGTGGAGTTTTGTTGGATTGATTTAGAGAGATGTAGTCTCTTTAATGCTGAGCAGTTCTCAAGAGCTGAACTTATTGTGGTATGTAAATTGTTCTATGAAAACATTATCCACAAGAGTACAGGGCTCTTCTCTGAATGAGTTCCACAACATACTCCATTTTCTGATGCAACAAATTAGGTGTTAGCAGAAATAAGCAAACTTCTCACAAAGTATGTGGTAAAGGTTTTCTTAGACTGGGGAGAGAGGTAGCTTCTTAATTGGCTTTTTAAACTTACTTCTTTAAGGCCCACCGCAAAGAAATGTATTTTGTAGGATTTCCCCCTCCCCCTCACCAAACCCCCATGGACAGGCTTGGGAACACATGCATGCTTCATCTATCCTCCAAGGAGACACCTACCCATCCAACGAAGGAGGGAAAATCCATGCTCTGTTCTGTCTGAAAAATTTGTGGCATCATCCACAGCATCATAAGTCAGGATTAAGTGTGTCTGCTCTGCAACCAAATCCATACCTAGGGAGAGAGCAGGATACAGAAAACAAATCTTGTGTTCTAGACAGGTGACACTTCCACCAGCACCCCAAGCTAGGTTATAACCATAATCTGTTTTACAGGCTCGGAGAGGCAAAAGGACAGGGCATCCCCCAGGGAGTGTGTGTTGGGCACAGGGGGCCGCTTCTGAGCAGAGGTATTCCCATACTGAGCCGGCAGGCCCTGGCAGAACTGCATTGGTGGAATACAGATTGTGCCCCTTTAAAAGTGTAGCGAGAACCACTGCTCTCTGTACTAAAATACCCCCCACTCCCCCCCACACACACACACAACTCTAGCACTGAGGTTGCCTGCACTCTTCCCTGGCAAGTGGTATACTTGCTCTTGAGTGAAGAAAGTGCTGGGATTCAATAGGGAGGATCAAGGTGGAGTTCTGTGAATTTGTGGTCACCATAGAAATAGGTGCAATCGACGTCATCTCTTTAACTTGGGTAAAATAGGGAATTGGGAGAGAGGAAAATCCGTAGTGCAAGCTTAAAAAAAAAAAAAATTAAAGAAAAACTGATTGGAAAAGAATCTTGGAGGTGGGGCCTATGGTTTGAGTTTAATTGTATGCGGTCCAGTATGGACTAGTATTCTATATTATACGTCTCTGGACTGGCAATCTGTTTTAATTGTTAAGCAAATTTGTTTCCGTGTCAGGTATTTAAGATGGGGTTTTGTTATATGAAGTATCGACACAAACGGATACTCAGCATATTTTATTCATTGAGCAGATACGTTAATTTCACTGGAATGGCAGTAATTATATCTCCTTATTGAATTTACAATAAAATTATGTTGCTATGAAGTGCTCCTGTAAATAAAGACGTACTGTACATTTGGTTACTATCCAGTGCTAATTTGAATGGACTAAGTGTGCAGCTTTTGCACCGGTGGACAGGCATTTTCATAGGTCAGGCTCTTTTTGTGGTAGTACAGGATGAAAAATGCAGCAGGAACCCCTGCATTGTGTGTGAAGCTGCTGATATTTAGTATGAATTTGCCAGTTTAAGTGAAATGTAAGCAAATTTGAAAATAAAACGGAAGCACTTCTGAGGCTAAAGGCTATTTCCCCCTCCCATTAGTCTATTGCCATGCACCGCGTGCACACGCAGGCTGAAACTAGGACAAGAGTCAAAAGTTTTAACATGCCATGAGAAGAGGCTGTTGTTGGGATGTGTCTAGCCCAGCCTAAAGTGGCGCTTGCTCTCTTGAGATTTTGGGACTCAGGAAGATCGACTGGTTTAGAGAAGCTTCCACACTCCAGGGTTCTGATTCAAACGTTATGATGTTCACCTAGTGCTTCATTCTTCTAAATCAAATGTAATTCTGGGTTGAGCTGTTATATAAAGATTGATTAGAAAGAGTCTGGAATCTGAAAGGGTTTCTTACCCCCTCTCTTGCTTTGACTTCTCACAAAGAAGATCCTAGCATAGATGTTCCCTGCTACCCAACCTTTCTTCTTGGGCTCCATGCACTGTCTCCCAAATCTCTCTCTCAAACCATCTTTTTTTGCTCCTGGAACTCCATGGTTGGCTCCTGCACAGCCTGCTGGCATCTTCCCCAGTTTCTATTCTCTTTGCCAAAAGGCTTCCTCAGTAGAGCAGGTTGAAAAATTTCAAAACTTGCTGATTGGAGGGGGAAATGGGGCAAACTTTTCACAAAGACTCTTGCCAATCCAAAAATTGCTGTGTTGTTTTTTGATGTTTTTAACCAGCTCGGTTCCATAGCATCTATCCTGTTTAACTCTGGATAAGATTAACACCAGATTTTTCTCAATTATCCTGTTTAAGTGGCTTGCATTCTGCATAACGTTGGGCTCAGTTCTCCCACCCTTCCTCATGCTAGATACTACCTTGCTTTGCAAGTTGCCTCATTGGATTAAGGTGGTACCCAGCATGAAGAAAGGTAGCAGAGTCTGGCCCTTTAGGCTTTCAGCCTGGCATATGAAGTAGTAGCTGAAGTTATTTAATATTTTGTGTTTCCTTTTTCTGCTCTCCCTTGCCAAGTTTGGATCGCCATATGCAGACTCACCACGGACACCATAAACCATTCCGTTGCAAACTCTGCCCATTCAAGTCCTCCTATAATAGCCGTCTGAAAACTCATATACTCAAAGCTCATGCTGGTAAGTCTCTGTCAATTTTATAATGCAGCAGCTATAACAAATGTCTTACTCTTTGTTGGTCAATGCCACTGTACCAGTTAAACTTTTCATTGCCAGTTTTGGGTGGGATTTTCAAAGGTGGTTCAGTATTAAATTCCCATTAAATTCTCTGCTCCCATTAAAGTCAGTGAGAGTCTTAACATTGACTTCAGAGGGAGCAGAATTAGGCCAACACTGAGCACGTCTGAAAATCCCACACTTTTGTTTCTAAAAGTGTGCTCTGTCATTCAGCTTCTAGTATTGGTGGCCAGACAAGTCTGATACTCACATGTTGATGATCTGCTGTTCTGATCTGTTTATATTTTAAATGACTCCTGAAATGAGCTGGGATTTGCATTTTGGACTGTCATGTGTTGGCTTCAATGTGCAAACTGAACTTGGAGCCAGATCCTCAGCTGGTTTAGACTGGCATAGCTCCATTGATGGAAATAGAGCTTATGCTGACTTACACAAGTTGAGGAGTGAAGTGTTTTATAGACCTTTGCCCTGTTGTATAGAATACGAACACACAACCAACACACTTGTGATATGGGAATTGGGAAAGTGATACAGGGGGAGGGAAAGGATCACAGCAAAATATTGCACCTGTGACTGTCTAAAGGTATGAAACACAAGATCGTTCAGAGACTGATCTTGGTTTTCTGGCCTCAGCCATGTGACATATTTCTGCATTAAAAAGGTTATCACAGGACTGGGGTCAATATCTACTTACTCCTTTAGCTACTGTTACAGCTTCCTTTTAATAAAAAAAAAAAAAAAAAAAAAAAAAAAAACAAATCAAATGCAGATAAGTAGACTGTCAACCAAAACAAACCACCACACAGTAATCTAGCTAATTACTAAAACCCAACGGTGTTGGACATCTGTCAGTAACTACATCTCTGGGCCTCCAGGGATTGCTGATCACATGGTCACATCTTGTTCTCATAGCAGTTCCTTCTGCCTGTTCTGCAGTGGCACAATTAATAAAATAAAATTGGTTGTAGTCCACTAACAAGAAGTTAATCTTTCCTGTTAAATTAAAATAGCTCAAAATTAACCTTGGATGAAGGGCAGTCAGGAGTCGCCTATAGTTTTTGCTGCTGCTCTTCATTCTGTTTCCTATATTGATTGCAGATTTCACACTTGCGTACCTTATCTTCAATGACAGCATTCATGCCAGGCCCTGTTCTTACACCTTTCAGTATACGGCTAGGCACTGTGAATTAGTTCTAACGTTTCTGACCTCACGCTGTGTGGTATTATGAGATGGTGTCCTTTGTACAGAATCCCATTTTAAGCAGCTATTTCAGTTTGTATAGTCCCAATAAGTTTTCATGTGTGGAGGTGCCTGGGTGCTTTTTGTTGGCCGTCCATTTAGAATTAATCTCTCAAGCTGTTGTACGGTTGGGCTATTTTGTATTTCTTGTTTGAGCTTGTCAAAATTTTGTTTAAAAATTTGTAAGTGAGCCATATTTCCTCCAAACTCCTTTTTCTGTAGATTCTTGATTTTGCTATATATAGGTGATCTTGAAAGCATGTCTGCTCTGAGAAACTCCTTTCAGGGCCTGTAACTCACATTATGCAAGTACTTTTGGAATTTCATGGTCACTTTCTGGAGTGTAGGTGGCGCTTTGCACAATGGTTTGTGTAATAGAGTTTCCGAAGTTTCGTGGTCTATTTCTGCCTCAATCAGTGTCTACCAAATAGACATTCATGAAACCGAATAATTGCTAGCATTTTTTTCAATCTAAGCATAGCTCAGTTTTGTTTTAGTCAGTCCTCTGGAAACACAAGTAATCACCTTTCCGGAAGGCTACCCCCCAACCCATGTGAGTTTGAATCAACCAAGATCTTAGACTCTTTCTAATCTCAAAATATTCCAGTTTTAGCGCTTCCATGACAACTTTTTTTTTTTAATTAAATTCCCAAAACTTTTTCTCTCCCTGATCAGACCTGTGCTAATCTGAACAAATTTAGAAGTGAATTTGCTTAGATAAGGAATTCTGGGTCTTTCCATTTGTACAGTTAGTTGCCTCCATCTTTCTGGCTCTGGTCAAACTCCGTTTGTCACGGAGTACATACTTTACATTCACTCCTATCTGGTATTTGTTCCTGTTCAATGTAATGTTCTTTCTTTGGCATGTTACGGAATGTTATGTGGTGCCTCTCGTTGTGTTGTTGTCTTCACCCCAAATCAGCAGACTGTTAAACTATTACTTCCACCCGATCCACATTCTAAATAATCTGGATCATGATGCTTTGGTACATCTCAGGATCTGAGACAGTCCCAAAGGGATATCATTTAAATATATATATATATATATATCTGCAAAATGGGGAGTTGAAGATAGATCTTTATAGTTTTTCTATTGTCAGACCTACCAAAAGTCTTGCCTTGCATCCAAAACTGAAAGTACTCTTGCATTTTGAAGTCCTAGATAAAACCACCTCAGCTGTTCTCATAGAGTAGTGCTTATGTTTGATAACCTTATTCAAATCTTCTTGATCCATTCCAGTACTTAACTTGTTTGAGTTCATTATGATGTCCTTCATGTTAATAAAGTCAGTCGGTGCCTGTGTTTATTCAATAACACCTCATTTTACCATATCATGAGGCTCATCCTCCTTGCTCACTGTATTTTGGACAGCATGCTGGTGCCTATGTCAATGGGATGCATTCTATCCTTATTGCATCCTGTCCCACTAAGCAACCAATTATATTCTGGAAGAATTACATTTGCATATCGTCTGTAAATGTGTTTTACACCTTTTGTTAATCAGCATTTGCAGATGGGACCACATGGGAATTCTTGTTCCACTACTTCGTACACTGAGTGGTCTGTCCTTCTCCAGATACACCAGTATGGGCTTGCCAGGTGGTCTTATTTTGTGTCTTACACTAAAGAAGCTTAGTTGTTGTTGTTTTTTAATTTTAGCACAGAGTGGTCACTAACCTTTTTGTGTATGCTTGCTGTGATTATGTTGTACTGAGCTCCAGTATATATTTTCAGATTCTCTTTTTGTTTATTTCCATGTCACAAACCCAATCTGTTCCAGAACCTTATTTTCTAAATTTATGAAGAGACCCCCCCACTCAAAAGAATTGTTTCTGCATCTTCATTATCAAAGCTTTGTCCTCCAGCTAATGTTCATAAATATTTTACACTTATTTTTGTTTTGTTTTTTTGTGGTTTGTTTGTAACCCATGCTTACTCCGTGTGGTGCTTTGTTCTCCCTTCCAGATAAGAGCGATACTTGCATATGTAACACCACAACCCTCGTGTTGGACAACTTTGCTTTGTGTTCCAATTGCCTCTGCACTTACTGCAAACAAATCTGGTCTTTGCAATTTGTTTATCCTTGTATTCCATCTTTATGGCTTGGAATATACTAAGAATTACAAGCACTTCTGTTCTTTCACTTCTTCTTAATGCTTTCCATAACACAGTTTTTGCTAGCCTTACAAATATCCACTTTTCCTAGTATTGTCATGTCAATTTCTTGTAATAACCTTACCTTGTTCTGGTTATCACTTATACCAGTGACTTAGCTTTGTTACGTGGTGACCAATGATCTTGCCTGGCAGCAGGTTTCATGTAAGGAAAATGTACCTTTCCCAAATTGCCTGGATCGCCGTATTCTTGAAGTTTTTGAAGGATTTTGGCTAGCATCTTGTAATGCCCTTCATGTTCCTTCTGTAATGCTTCTGGACCTGCTACATGTAGCAGTATGGAGGATTCCACCCTCTCCAATTACTGTGAAAGGCCTCTTGCTTCCAAGAAAATTTGGAAGTCCTGTTCCCACCTCTTCCAGCTCTCTTTCAGCTTGAGGGATTCAATCAGCTCCATTTCGCCAAAGATTGTTTTCTTCCAACACCATGCAACAAAGTTGTGATGCACGGAAGTGCTGATGAGAGACTGGTCTTTATTTGCTGGCCTCTAGTCATGTGACAAGGGGGCCAGGGTTTCAAAAGGGCAATATCTTTGTCATATGGCAGGTGTCACTATCCATAGACTCCAGTACCGACTGTTCCAACAGGAAAACTAAATAGCTGGTTTTCTTTGGAACCAGTCTTGCACCAGAGGAGTCAATGGGAGTTTTGCCATTGAGTTCAGTAGGAGAAGGATGGGGCCCCATTATTTCTTTTGTGAGCTGATGACTTGCCTGTATTTCGCTCACCCAGGTGAACATGCCTACAAATGCTCCTCCTGCTCATTTTCCACCATGACAATCAGCCAGCTGAAAGAGCACTCCTTGAAAGTGCATGGGAAAGCACTGACACTACCAAGACCCCGCATTGTCAGCCTTGTAGCCTCACTCGCCCAACACGCCTCCAAGAACCACACTCCTGCTGAAGAAGTGGAGGACTCTAATGGTAAGAGGTGCCTCAGAGCAAGAACCTAACTGTCTAAAGTGCTGTTTACACACCCACCCACAAACATATATATTAAGGCAACAGCCTGCCCCAAAGGCAGTTTCTTTGGTCACTTTGTAAAGGAAAATCTGAAGTTGCTTCTAAAATGAGAATAAATTTGTTTGAAGTATGTGATCTACAGAAGCACCTCACTAATTCATGCTCCTCTAACTTGTCCAGCCCATAACAGATACTCAGGGTATGTGAGGGTGTCTTTACTCCTCAGCAAAGTTTTATGGGGGAGATTTTTAAAGACACAATTAGATTCTCAACTCCCACTGAGAATCAGTGGGAACAGGATATCTAACTCCCTCTCTGTGCCTCTGAAAATCTCCCCCTAAAAGCTACAGCGTATGTAGAAAAGAAGTCCAAAATATTGGCTGTATCAGGATGGTGGGTAAAGATGGTGAGTGAAGTAGAAGAGACATTATTTTCCCACCCTCCCGCCTCCCTTAAGCCCATTGTAAGAGCAGCATGCTGCTCGGGGCTCTGGGAATTTTGGTCAGTGTGGTTGAATGGAGCAGATGCAGAACTGGAGTATGGATGCTATATATGACACAGACCCTAGCAAGCTTACAGGGAGATAATGCAGCTGCAGGATCAAGCTCCACATCTTGAACCCCCAGGCCAGCAAGGGAGTTGGTACTTAGGCAAGAAACTACTATGGTTCCCGAGTGAGCCATATTGACAAGGAAAAAAGATGCACAAGGAGCTGGGCAGAAGTCCCAGCTCTCTGGTGATCTTCAAAGGTTGTCTGGGATTTCCTCAGATCAGATTTTCCATGGAAGAGTTAGAAAGGAAGGAATGTAATATCGTTCCGAATATTCCATAGCATGTTCTGACTATTTTGGGGTTTTTTGTTGAAACAAAAAGTTTCATTTCTAAGGGGGAATGGGAAAGAATGAAAGAGGACTAAACCCAGAGGCAGAAACCCCAAACGACTAAAATAGAAACTAAATTTTTTAAAGAAAACTTGTAAAGATGTGAACAGCACAAACATGTTCCAAAAAGGCTGTTGTTTTCTTTTTTCAAAAACACCTTTTCAATGAGACAGTTTTGACCAGCCCAGTTCAGATCCCTTCCTTTCCCAGGATGGTGTCTGGAACTGGGCAGGGACTACTGACTGAGCTCCTACTAATATCATTGTTGCTAATACTAACTAGTCCAATGAGTAAAGTATCTCTGGTGTGCATTACTGCATTTTTAAAAAACATTTCTCTGACTCTTCAGATTTCAAAACTCAGTCGTTATCAATGGCTCTACCAATCTTTAATGTGAATTAGCAAGGTTCGACTAATGATGAAGGAATCAAGAGATGCATAGAGACAATGTTATGGGCTTTGGAAGGATGATGCATTTGCTTTCTGTTGCTCATACTCAGAGCTCCAAGTCATGATTATAGGAGCAAGGCATGAATTACAATTATCCTCTGTAGCCTGTTATGTTTTCAGTATTGTAGTCTTTTTATTTTTAAAGAGGAGTGGATATTAGTTAAAGGGTTCTGGTTTAAAAAGTTTTAGGTACACTGAAACTCACTCATTATCGTAGGAGGTCTCTGTTAAACAGTCCAGATTTGTATTGTGACCAGAGGCCAAGACACAGTTTGTCCCAAATAGCTTGATTAACTATTAACCTCGTTTAAAGACAAATGACTTTAACTAATAAAAGCCACCAGCAGCCAATTAGAAGAGCACAAGTGAAGTAATAATCATAGGAAGATTCTCAGCATTGCTTAGGAAAGGAATAACACGCTCTAAGTAATTTTCTTGACATTGCGCAGTTGGTTACAGACCAAATTAATGATCACTATGCTTTTGATATGGTTCATTTTGGATTTTTAGAAGTGGCTGAATAGAGTTCCATGTAACTCAGACCTGTAAGCTGCAGGTGATACGTGGAATAGATAAATGATTGGTCAGAATAACGGAAAGCAGGCAGTCCATGTGAAAGGCGCTATTATGCCCCACTGGGGGAAGTATTAAGTGGGGTTCACACAATATACAGTAGTTGGACCTCCACTGTTCTAACAGATATAAATAACCTTCCCCTGGGCTGGCTATAATCTGGTTAATTTGCTGATGACACAAAATTGGATCAGCTGAGGGTACGTGGCAAACATGGATACTGTATCAAATGAATTTGGAGTTGTTTCATGAATCAGTAGCTATATGGCAACAAAGTACAATTGAAAGCTTATAAATCAGGCCCAGTTAGTATGGCATGTGCATTGAAATGAATGGAACAGAACTAGAGCAGGATGGCTTGAAAGAGACGTGGGAATGGACAATGTGGAGCCTGAAAGAGTAAATTAAAGAAGGGGGATAGGAGGGGTGCACAGCCAAAATAGCAAAATTCACATTTGCCGCAGCCTTGCTGGAATAAAATGGTTCTGTGACAAGCGCCCAGTAGAAATGTTGCCTCCAGTTCAGGCAGAAGTTGTTTCCTAAGGCACCACTTTTAAAGGTCCAAAGAAACCCATTTAGGCCGGTCCATGCATTACAAGGCAGGAAGGAATTTAAATCTGTACGACTCATTTATTTTAGCTTTTTATTGGGAGCAATGAGCACAGCTTTACAGTGTATGTCTTGGAGCTGGGAGGTTTGAGTGAGAGTAGACTTCTAGGTCACTTTCGGTGGTCCGGTCCTTGTTGGCTGTGTCGTCAGTAAAAAGAAGTTTTATGCCTCCAATGCTGGTATAAACTGGTCCAGGTCAGCAGTGAGCAGTTGTTTGGAGGTCTGTGGTGAAATGAACTGATGAACTGTGTTGGTGGTGAGGCTAAGGCCTAAACAGGCATAGAGCCAGAACTGCCCTCTCAATTCCTAGAGGTGTAGGCCTTGCAGGTCAGCATTGAGTCTTATTAATGAGACAACATGGGAAGCTGATCCTATTTGTACCATGCCTGGTTTGTGGAAGGGGGACTTCTATATGTGCACAGTATTTCTGGTATAGAAGGTGATTGTCGCCATGTTATCAGGTGCTCCTTAGATGGGAATCGGTACATTCTGTAAGCAAAAAATTCCACCCCCCCCCCAACTATTTATTTATTAGGAAGTTTTAACAGCTTGCCATGTAAATATCAGAGACAAAACAATAATCATTGCAAGGCTGAGCTTTTGTTTAGAGAAACATTATACAGCAGTATGATCATCAGAGCTCTCTATTTAACAGGGTTTTACCATGTTAGTGAGCATCTTTACGCTACCCCCAACATATCAGTGATTTTATTAAACTGAGTGACATCTCTGAATACACACATTGACCTGACTAGGCATGTCTGTCTAATGTTAATATTTAAAAAAAAAATTGGACAGGAAGCACCAAATTCTTTCAAAAAACAAAAATGAAAGGCCTGTGGAAATATTGTACATTAAAGTGCAGTCTTGTGTGTAGCATAATCACGTGTAGTATGTTGCTGTTTTAAACAATAATAATCCAGATAAAGGACCAAATCCACAGCTGTGACACTACTGAGTGTCAGTGGAGCTACGCTGCTTTACACCTTTCCTTCTGGTTGTTTTGAATTAGAAAGTCAGGTCCTGTCTGGCCTTGAGGAACGGATAGTGACTGGCATGCTTGTAAAATTATGACATCACAAGAATAAGGAGCATTTGAGAGTTTGGTTTTTTGTTTTTGTGTTTTGTCAAACTGTTTTTGTGTGTTTGGTGGGTTTCTTCAGACCTCTATTTCACTTCCAAGTCTAAGGAGCAGTTTGGAGAAAGGATGTCTTTGGCTCTGTCTCTAGTAAGGCAACCCACACTAGTTTGTTACACCAGCACAAACTCGTCATGTAGACACACCACTCTGGTGCAAAGTGGGGCTTTACATCTGTGCAATTTAATCCAGTAATACACAGACGTAAGTTACACTGGTGTACCTATAACAGTGCAAATTTCCTTACTGTAGGCAGGGCCTGAATTATAGATTAATTACCCCTTCTTTCAGGGTGAGAGGTCATACTACACATGCTCTGAGATCCTCCAGCAAAACTAGGGAAAGCCTGATTGGACTCCCCAAGGCAGTACCACACCCTGCTCCATCCCTTTTAAAGATGGGAGGAAGCATAAATCTTTCAGTTTGCCTGCAAGTAGTTACACTAGACCGGGGCTTAAGTGTTTGCAGGACTGAACCTGAAAATCCTAGATGCCTTCATCCTCCCCAAGAGCAGCTTCTGAGACCTGTAAATTGGGCTGTGTCTTCCTTGCAAGTTCCAGTCCTAAACAAATATATTTGGAAGTTGAAGGCAATGTTATTTCATTTTAAAAAGGAGAGAGACAGAGAAGTACGTGAGTGGGTCCTATAACATTTAAAAAAAAATACCCAACAGCTTAATAAATGGGTTGGCATTTTTATAATTATTTCATGCACATTGTACTTAAAAACAAAGTCATCATGACTGCTCACCCATGCTCACTTTGAGTGATACTTATTTTTTTGAATAGCCTGATTGGTTTTTGGTGGGACTGCAAAGAAAGATACTATTCTATATGAGTAAGGTTGGCAGAATCTGGAGATACCCTTTGGAAGCAATACAATGCACTTTATGCATTCTCCTGCGACTCAGTGGCCATCCCCTTCCCTCCACGCATGCCAAGAAAAATATTTGCCCATCATAAATACAGGCACACATTACAGAACACGTACAGAGTCAGTAATGTTCAAAACAGAAGCTTTTTTGAGTTTTACTTTATGGTATGCATCAGTATGTTCACTTTTTTTTTTTTTTAAGCAGCAACTCAAAACAGACCCAACACCTCAGTGTCAAAAAAATAAAATAAAAAGCAGATGCGATGATAATTAAATTCACTAAGCAGCAATATCTGAGCTCCATCATTGTCCAAAGCACCCAATCCCATGTATTCCAGCTATTCCTGAACTTTGTTATTTTCCCTTTGATAAAGGCCATTGCCTCATCTGGAGACTGAAATATAAAGACGTGTCTGTCTTGGTTCACCGGAGCCTGG